TGAGAACCATCATCACGAAGGGTGCCATTGATCATTGCAAGTTCACGCAGCTGCTGCTTTTTATAGAAGTCCTGAGATTCATCCTGTTTTTTTTGTGAAAATATTAAAAATCGGGCAGGGAATTGAGAGAGAGAGGAAAACCAATGTCCTTATACGGGAAATGAATAATTCAGAAGGAAAGGAAAAGAAAAACGTTTCTCTCCTTTTCCTCACCAAAATAGAAGGTAAGTTGTTTTCCTTCTAGTTTGTTTTCTCCTCTCATTGTGTTTTCTTTCCACCTTTATGTTATTTTCCTCTCTAACCAAACAAGAAAAGTACTTTTCCATATTATTTTCTTTTATTTTCCATTTCAAATTCGTTGAACCAAACATAGTCTTAGCGTCACCAAAGTGAGAAAAGATAAGAATTACCACAGGCTTGAGAAGATCTTCAAGAATCTCGCGTGCTTGTTCTAACCGAGCATCAATTATCTCCACAGGAAGTTCAGCCTCCACAATTAGATGAAGGGGTTCATTCAGGTGTTCATACCCAGATTTACCTCTCATCATTTCTTCCTTTAGATAATACAATAGTAAATTAAACATGATTATTAAGTTAAGATACACCCATGAGAAATTTTTAGTATTAGAGAACAAACTTTGCCATTTTTTCTAGTAGTAAAAATTAGTTGAAGTTGAAGTTTTGGAAGAGTCTAGTAAGGTGCTTGTCCTAAATCTCATCCCAGATGCTAGCTTAGCAAAAATGTTTTGCTCACCTGGCATCCCTTTGCATTTGCTGATTTGCCCTTGACCCTACTTTTGAGTGTGATATATTTGGTTTTGTTTGGTTTGTAGAGAACAGGACATGAGTTTTTTAATCATCTCTTTCTTCTTTTGATGGAGCCGAGGTCAGGGTACGTGGGGTGGGATGGGATGGGGTGGGGTGAGAAGATTCATTTGATAGAAATAAATTGGCAGACGGATGAAATTAAGTCCAGCACCTTACATCTCATAATTAGTGGGGTTTTGCAATGATTAGTTATAGAAGCCACACAATTCTGATATAACCATCAATGATGGAGCTAAAAGATAAAGTTGGGGCATATTAGGGATCCGAAGACATCCCTCAGATAGATGAAAACTCCCCCTCTAATCCTATTGTCAGAGACTAATTAGGAAGAATTGTTTAATTGTTTTAGCAATGATAACTTAATTGATGATTATGTGAATAAAAATAGGCAAAGCCTTCCATTTTCATACTAGGAAACATGAATGCTTATTTAGGAATATTAATTAAAATAGAATAATACTACTAATAGGACACTAGTAATAATAATAGTAATATAATGATAATAATAACAATAATAATAATTAATTGAGTACTAAACCCTATATCCATAACAGAAACCTTCCCTCTTTACCATACACGGCTGTGCTGGCAGTGAGATGCATGTTAAGTGCTAAGTGATCATGCACAGTAAGCCAAATGCAGGAGTAAATGCTACCTTTGCTAGATCCTTAATGCTCCCACATCCTCTGATTAAAACACGGCAGTCTGTACTTGCTTCCACGCGTTTAAGTGAGTTCCCTCTAGGTCCAAGGAGGCGACCAACAAAGTTGTACTGCATTAGTTAATGGTTAGCATTGAAACATATTTCCACACACAAATCATAAATAAGCATGCTGGATGAAAACACATACATTGGGATATCGCTCGACAGGGATGTCAATTCGGATTGTTCGCTTTACAATAAGGCCAGATGGGCTACTACTACGACCAGAAAGCCAGTTTTGAGGGCTGGTGGATTGCAGTAGACCTGGCATCTGCGCATCAAAAGTGTAAATCTTGTCATTGAGTGAAGGGAAGGGGTGGAGAATGCTTTCATTTGCACAGATTGCTGCACTTTTAGAGTATTCATCCAAATATTCAATATAGCTATTCGTTTGACAAAACTTTAGATTCCAGAATGCCTGGGCTACATGTAATTTAGCATGGATCTATTCATAGCAAAAGAAAGTATGAATCATAAGTTTCATCCAAAAGAAATGCAACATGGATTTCAATTCCATGCTTTTAGGAATCACTGGATCAGAATGACTGTATTACAGTACTGAACATTTAACAAAATAATCCATTAATTATTGTTAGCATAAACTAAAGCAAAAAACTCTAGTAGAGATTCTAAGTAAAATAACGCATTCTTATTGGGGAACTCTGGTCCAAGTTATCGTATTTTAGACAGATGAAGGACAGCCTCCTATTCCCCCTATGTCAAAATCATTTCGACAAAAAATACAAAGTGAGGAGGTAAGGTTAACACTTAAATCAATCATATGACCATTAGTAAATATAAAGCATAGGACATTAGCACTGAATCAATGTGCACCACTAAGCCTATAAATCAGTCTTGACAGAGTTACTTGTTAGCTTCAAAGTTCAAACTACCTGTCATGACAAACATTATGTTAAAAATACCTTAAAAAATAATCAAGTCAGCAATTAGAGTAGAAAAATGTGTCAGGATCTTTTGAAAATAAAAATTAGATTAAAGTGGTTATATGTTAATGGTTAGTATCCATACTTCAGATTGAAACTGTGATGCCCTTCGGTCCATGTTAGCTCCTCCATTTGAAAATAATCCTCCCAAAGCCATGGGGCTAGCATGTTCAAGCCCACTTTGACCTAAAATAGATGCATTCTCCAAGAGTGCACTAACACGCAATATTTCTGCTTCAAAAGGTCAATTTTCAAGAATAAGATGTACCAGTGAGCATTAGTTAAAAATTACTCTATAGTTAGCAGTCATCAATATTGACCGAGTGAAGGCCATTTCACCAAAGGTTTAAAAAGTAAATCACATGTCATACACTGATCACTGATAAATCCTACACTAAACCAACAGAAGGAACCCTATATGACCAAGTTAACATCGATCTACCCATGCAGTTGCAACTCTGGTAAAAACTAGTGGGATTTGACGAAACATAGGGAATATGTAAGCCTGGCAGAAAAATATGCATTATTTAAGGACAAAGTTTCAATCTTCCATCCATATTTTAACTCCTACAATTCCTCACTTCACCACATTTAAGCCTCAATTGACATCAGCAAAGATGTGTTTCTTGCAGTATTATAAATTACAAGCATTTAAGTACTTATTAATTCTATGCAGAGGTTAAAACTTACCCTGGTGCAGCAACCGATAACAATGAGGAAGCACAGGCATAAATGGACTAAGTTTGCTTCGTTCTGCTAGCAACTCCGCAAGATGCCTTTCAACATGAAAATATGCTATAAGATAAATTAGTGGCAGACAAATTTCAAGCTAACCTAGCACTCACTAACTAGAGTTTTCAATAACTTCAATCGTTAGTTTACATAGCCAGGCAATTGAATGCTCCCAGATATTTGGAACTGTATTTATTTTGGACATCCAATGAGATTATGTAAATGATAACTCTTAATGGTACAAGGTGCAGGCACATCAACTGTTGTTTCTTTAAATAGAGTAGCAGTCCATCCCCGATTAAAGGCATGGGCATGAATGGTCCCTCAACTATTGACAAATGGGTGAACTGGACCTTTATATCATTCTACTAGAAAACCTAATGCACAGATAGTTTGATCTCATTCCAAATGGAGATGAGGCAAACACTGTACAATAAATTGTATATAAGTGCTCAATCCATGCATCAACTATTGGAAATAGAAGAAAATGATCCGCAACCTAATAAAAAATGTATGGAAATGATCATTCTATTAAGAAGACCTAACAAAAGAGCTATTACTGACCAATCTAAATAATTGATTGACAATTGTGGTCCTTGTCCAATTATTGACATCTGGAATGAAAAATGAAATTACTACTATATTCAATGGGAATTTTGTGTTCTTTTTTTCCTGCGGGAGATTTCTTTGAAAGGAAGAGTGCAAGATATAAAACTACTTGATGCTCTTGAGCATGGTTGGAAGAAGCAAACGATGGCTGGTCTTTAACTTTCCAAACAATGCATAACCCCTTCGGCCCTTCTTTGGCTTAAAAGAGGAGTGGAGAGGAGAACCAAGAAGAGTGGAGGTGTGCATCATGGAAGAGTTAAAAAATGTTTTGTTTAGTTCAACGGGGGAGATTAAAAAATCATGCAAAATGTAAAAATATTATATTTATCATAAATTTATTGCAATCATTAAATATATAGTAAACTCTATGTATACCAATAATAATGTAGAACAATTTTGATTTCAAAAGAGAAACAGAAATCAAGAAAAAGACCCTTCATCAAAATTCCCTCGAATCAGAGAATGGGATATGAGGATGGAGGAATATATACCTCCTCCACTCCCTTCCCTCTTAACTCTTCCAAGCAAGCATGCCACTCATCCACTTTCTTCACTAAAGAAGGGGCTACTGTGAAGCCAATGCGGCAGAATCGATATATAAGCATCATAACCACTAAAGATGGAAATGATAAACACCCATAAAGCATTACTTCATGCGAGAAGAAAACACTCTGACTCCAAATAAACAAACAATAGGAATTAGTTTTTCGCCGTCTCAGATCAATTGAGAAAACGGTATGGATTCTAGGGAGGGAAATTATATACTCTTATGCTATAAACATATAATTTGAGAATCTATAAACCCCAGTTACACACAAAAAAAACAACAAAAGTCAGATTCCAAGATATATTAAAACACTGCGAGTAAAAAACACTTCAGCCAAAGTTCAATAAGCACAACTGAGGAAACAGTTCTGTGAACTGGCAAAGAGGCCACAAGCAAACATTCTTACACAAGCACCAAATGGCTGAGTTCAACTATAACTAGCCATAATACCACACCGAAGTCAGCTGAAATCGAAGAAAAACAAGAGGGTAATCCGATGTAGAGAAAAAAGATTTTTATTATGAACACGGAACAGAAGCTTGCAACCCAGGAAAAGACAATCAAACAGCTAAAACCGCGACTCCAAAAAGGGCACATAGATAAACCGATAGATCCAAATTGGGCGATAACTTCTGGAAGAAACAAACAGGGTTTACCTTTCATGCTCGACAAGTGGGGAGGAAGCGGAGCGAGTGGCGGCGATGTGGGGAGGGAGGGGAGCGGAGGGGGACGGGGAGTAGGCCATAAACCTGCCGGAAGCCATGTCCGTTGACAGCATCATGAGCTCCGATGATCGGAGATCCGCCGATCTCCCTCGTCCTCTCCGGTACTACCTAATGATGAAGGGAACAATTCAATGGAAGAATATGTATGGTGTCGGTGGAGAGAAACGAGGTATATGTATTGATGAATCCAAGATTTGCATACCAACCAATACCAAATGGGGAGAGTAGGAGTAGTGTACTATTCTTTCTACTGAGTATACTTGTGCTTGCTACTAGTAGGAGTCTAAGGAAAAGAAAGAAGGCAACTTTTCTACTCTGCTTTCCAACCTTGCGGTTGATTGACACGCCGTCCCTCTTACCCACCATCCCAATCATTGTATCAAAAAAGGTTAGGACCTTCACCCATGGAAAATTTATTTTAGAATAATTTCGACTTTATTTGATATTTCAAAAATAATTTGCATTTCACTGTGACGTATAATAATTACAAAGTTTATTGAAATTTATGAGTTTTGGGTCACCGTTAAGTTCCTAACGGCATGTTAACAGAGACAGCATGTTTTGCACAACAAATCGAAAGTTAGAATTATTTTTTACTAAATTTTCATTTTAATTTTTTTGTTTTTTAAATTTTCATTTAGATTTTTAAAATGAATTCCTACCTCAATTTCTTTTTCTTTTTTTAAAGATTGGTCTTATCTTATTAAAAAATTAAAATAGATATATAAAAATAACAAAAATGAGAAAAATAACTTAAACCATAAAAAATCAAAAAAATAAATAAGGTGACGAGTAAAAATTAATCTGAAACTGGTAATAAATATAATATTAAGGAGTGGAGGGTTCTAACAATGGGTGAATTTGGCATTATTTTAAATAAAAATATCAGTAACGTACTAAAGTACTACTTATTTTTAAAAAATAACGAGTAAACTTCGGATTATTCTATATAATTTTTTCTAAAAAGAAGAAGAAATGGTACATTAATGCTCTATATAGTGTATAAAATTTAAAACCTACCACGTTGTATATTTTTATTTTATTTCTTACCAATTTCAGGTTATTTCTATTGATTGCCTTTTTCATTAATTTTGTATGATTCTAGTTATTTTTCTCATTTTTCTCATTTTTCATTTTTTTTTATTTTTATCCAAAGTTAGACTAATCTTTAAAAAGAAAAAGAAATAATGGAGGTAAAAATTCATTTTAAAAATTTACATGAAAAATTCAAAAAAAACATCGAAAGTAATCCCAACTTGCATTTAATTACGCCAAACGAGCCGTTTTTGTTAACTGTCGTTAGTAACTTAGCAGTGAATCAAAATTCGTAAATTTCAATAAATTGTGATTATAATGCATCTTAAAATCACAGTGAAACGTGTGATTGGTTTTGAAAGATTGGGAAACGTAGAGATTATTCTGGATAATTTATGCTTATTTTTTAAAACAAAGTGTAAATTTATTAGACAAAGACTAATTACAGGGTACATCCTCCAAGTCCTACTAGTGCCATACCGTACTATACTACTTCCAGTCATATTTGATCCGAGCATAAAAGCATATTTGAATTTAATAAGTTGAAATTACAACTTTATCATTAACCAAATAAATGCAGCATTATTTACAATCAAAAGAGTTTATTTAATCTTACACAGAGAGAAGATCTTAACATAAAATAATGCATTCTTGATCATAGCCCCTGTAGCGTAGGATTTGCCATGAATCTTAGCATTGTGGAGCTTCCAGATATGGTTGCTTTCTTTTCATTACCACATGTGCCACAACTATCATTAATATCCAGAAGCTTCTTCAAGTAGCTTTGAGTTTTAAGTCTGTTCTGAAAAGTTAACCATAGAATCACCTTATGCTTAGGATGCACAGCCTTGTTCCAAATCCATTTGGTCCAGTGAGGCTTTTGTCTGTTCCATAGGAACAAAGGACAGTCATTTATGGATTAAAAATTCCAACCTTTGATGTATCTGGAGTGCACCCATTTGACCCATAACAGGTCCTTCTTGTTGGAGATGTCCCAGTTAAGTTTCATCACACTAGCATAGTTCCAGAGCACTAGATTTTTAATGCCAAGTCCCCCCATGCATGTAGGTTTGCAAACATCATCCCAATTGACCGGGGGATTTTCCTTGGTCAATATTATATAAACCTTTTTAGTTCTAGCTCTCTATATAGTGTAGCAACATGCATTAAATATAGCAGCCTTCAAATTGGAGTACACAAATTCTCTAAATAAGATTTCGTACTCTGTCAATGTGTCACTGTACACGGGCAGTTTACTATATTTTTTGGCAATGTATATGGCCATGATTGGTAATATAAATACATCTTAACTCTTATTTCGAAAATAAAAACATGGAACTCCTATCTTGGTATATTTTCAATATTTTACTCACACTTTAGTCTTTTCCCTTTATTTATAAGAATTCAAAATTTGTTTACCATAAAAAATTATAAAGCGAAAATTTCATTTATTTAATACGAGAATCAATTTAGAATGGGTACAAATTTAAAAAATAAGAAATCGCCTCAAATACAAGTAAAGCATAATATTTATCCTTAAAATAAAAGTACCATTTTTTTCCTTGAGAAATACTTGGTTTCACACCATTTGGGGTACACCAAATGTACACTAAGTCTAAAATAGACACACACAAACACTTAATGTCTATGCATGCACAGAGTCGGTGTGTGCCTATTTTAGGATTGGTTACATGTGGTGTACCCAAAATGGTGTTCCCTTAGCACTCCTTTTTTTCTTAAAATAAGAAATTTCACTGTAACATTATGAAATTGTATATTGGCATCTCATTATATTTTTTTGTTACTCTATCGTCTTTATTAGCATTGTATTATATCCATACTTTATTTAAAAAGACATGGAGTCAATATTGTGTTTTCCTGCCCAAAGACTATGGCCATTATATATGGTAATGTGAAGTTAAAATTGTAAGTGTCCAAAATTATAGTAATATAAAATTTACGTTTTATAAATATAATTATTATATTAGATTTATAATAATTAACTGTCATAATTATTTAAAATTACCATTTTTAAAGTAAGGAAATAAAATCCGGAAATTACCATTTTAAAAATTTTTCTCCTTTAATGATAAAATTTAAAAGTATTATAGTTAATAAGACTGATTATTATTAAAAATGGTAATAATGTAGACCGACGTAATTATGAATTAAATAAAACAGGTAATTTCCATATTTTTATTTCCTTATTTTAAAAATGGTAATTTCAGTCTTACGTTTTCTTCTTTAATGATGGACATTTAAATGTATTATATTTAATAAGATTGATTATTATTAAAAATGGTAATAATGTAGACCGACGTAATTACAAATAAAATAAAAAATTTAATTCATTAAGACTGATTATTATTAATACCCAAAAAATATTAATAAAAAATATTTATAAACTTTAACACGCGCCAATCAATGCTATTAAAAACATGTGTATGATTATTCTTACCATAATTATATAATTATATGATTACCGTGTGCCTAGGTTATATAAAAAAACGTGTGTATGATTATAGTATAATATAATTATGGTAAGAATAATTATACACACAGTTTCGAAAAAAATTAATACGGTCAAACCCTTTAAGTATATATACTCATATTTAAATTTATGTTTAATGGAAAGAAAGGTAAAAAGCAAAAAATATAATAATTATTACTCCGTTCATTTATTACCTATGTAAATGGTAAGTGTCCGAAATTATAGTGTCCATTTTTGAACCGTGCACGAAGTATGTCCATTACATATGGCAATTGTGAAGTTAATATGGTAATGTCCGAAATTATAGTAATATAAAATGTTAATTGTGAAGTTAATATAATTATTTTTTTAATAATAATTAACTGTCATTTTTAAAGTGTCCGAAATTATACTCTGAAAAAAGGTAAGTTATAAAATTGGAAAGCGTAATTTTTTATTAAAATTGGAATCTTACGTGTGATTTTCTTTATAGTGGTTTTAATTAAAATTGTATGTTACGTGTGACTACCATGTCAAATTAATTATAGTAATTAAATATTAATTACTGTGTCAAATTAATTATAGGAATACGTGTGAGAACCGTATCAAATTAATTATAAAAATAAAATCTTAATTACTGTATCAAATTAATTATAGTAATTTTAATTATAGTAATTTTACATGTGACTACATAATTACATATTAATTACCGTGTCAAGTTAATTATAGTAATTTTAATTATAGTAATTTTATAATAATAATTTTATAATGGCTATATTTTAGTTATAGTGGCTATATTTTATAATGGCGATATTTTACTGTATTTTAATTATAGTAATTTTAATCTAAAAAGGTAATAAATAACTAAGGTATTAATTATATAACCGTGTGACTACATAATTGTATACTCCGTATTAATTACCGTGTCATTTTAATTATAGTAATTTTAAATATAATAATTTAAATAATTTAAATATAGTAATAGTAATTGTTAAGTATTTAAAGATGGTAAGAAATTAAAGTGTCCGAAATTATAGTAATAAAAAATGGACTATAACTACTGTAAGACTTAAATATCCTTTAAATATATACATTTACGTTTAATCGCGAGAAAGATAATAATCAAGAATGGTAATAATAACTGTCATTTTTAAAGTGTCCAAAAATATACTAGCAAAAAAGGTAATAATAAAAAAGGTAATAATTGTCTAGGGTATTAATTATATAACCGTGTGACTACATAATTGTATATTAATTACCGTGTAAAATTAATTATAGTAATTTTAACTATAGTAATTTTATAATAGTAATTTTATAATGGCTATATTTTAATTATAGTGGCTATATTTTATAATGGCTATATTTTATTATATTTTAATTATAGTAATTTTAATAAAAACAGGTAATAATTAACCAAGGTATTAATTATATAACTGTGTGACTAGATGATTGTATACTCCGTATTAATTACCGTGTCATTTTAATTATAGTAATTTTTATTATAGTAGTTTTAAATATAATAAACTAAATAATTTAAATGTAGTAATAGTAGTTTAAATTCGTTATAGCACTTTGAAAAATGAATAATTTTTTTAACCCCGTATGCAAAAATCATAGTATAAATACATCCATTTACAAAGCTTTCATAGTCCTTACATTCATGATGAAGCTACGAGCAGTTAATGATGAAGCTACGAGCAGTTATGATTTATCACAGGTTTCCGTAACAATAATCCTACATGTTTTAGTCATTAACAACTCTAAGTTGCAGTTTAAGAGTAACTAATCATAGTAGGTTGAAGATTTTGATATGCAATGAAGACAATATTCCCACAAACTGTACAAATATTGTAGTCTATACAGAAGTCTTTCGAAATCTGTAAAACATTGATATTTTGTACCTTAAAATAGTATAATCTCTATATTCTATTGAATCTCATTTTTTATCATTGAAAAATGATTTTAATTTAATAACATAAAAATGACTCGTGCAACGCACGGGTGTGATACTAGTTTTAGAGATAAGAAACATGAGGTTCCTATTTTGGTACCCTGCCCATATTTTATTGAAGAATTTACGTAAATAACACTAAAGCATAATGATTTTTCTTAAATAGCACTACATGTGTTATTTTCTCAATATAGCACTTTTAGTCATTATCCATTAGTTATTATTCAAGTAAATATTTGCCATCACTAGTCATTATGGACATTATTAAGTGCTATTTAGGAAATAAAACAATTTAAGTTCTGTTTAAAGAAATGACTTAAGTTTTAGTGCTATTTAGTGCAAATATTTCTATTTTATTTCAAGTTTAGTCTCGTTTCTAAAAGAATTTAGAAATTATTACTCTGTTTTAACAACAACAATATGTCGATAGAAACAAGAATGTGTACTACATAGTATTATGTTAGGTGGCATATATTTCAGTATTGGACAGGGGAGTGGCACACGAGCCCTCGTCGAGAGGATCTTTTTTCTATCCAAGTACTGTTGTTGTTAAAACAAAAAAATAACTTCTTATTTCTTTCAATTCCAAACTGATTCTCGTATTAAAAAATAAATATAATTTTTTGTTAACATACTTTTTTGGAGTGCAAATTTTATTTTATTTTTTATGAATAAACCACAAGCATACACTTTTCATATTTATTAAATTCTATGTTTAAAAGTAGTTCAAGAGTAATTCTCTAAATAGTTCTTTATAACTGAAATTTTTCCATATTTATCAAAAATTATGTTTTGTGGTCCTTATTGGTTAGGTATTCCACGTTTAGTTCTAAAAAAATCACTCCAAATGAGAATAAAACGTAAAGAAATTGCCAAAATATGAGATCCAAGTTTTTATGCCCAAGACAAAAGTTTATATTATGGTAATGCTGCACTGCATATGGACATTTCATAATACTTTTTGGTAATTTATATAATCATGAATGACACTGTAAATGTATTTAAACACTTATTTTCAAGAACAAAAACATGAATCTCCTATTTTGATATATTTTCAATGTTTTACTCATACTTTAGTTTTTCCCTAGTTCTTGTCTAATGACACGAAGACGAAAAATAGACGAACGACCAAACGTGGAATGATACCCTGTTAATAAGGGCTCTCAATATAATACTACCTCCGTCTCGTAAAACTTTTTAACTTTTACATCTTACTTGTTCCATAAAACATTTCAATTTGGGCTAAAAGAACACAACCATCTTTACTTTTTTTAGATCTAACCGAATATACCTCAACTACCTTTCACATCCTATCCATTTTGATATTTTTTGAGCCTTACTTGTTTTGATTGTCATTGTTTTACCTTGGTCAAACTTTTACAGTTTCCCATCCCAAAAGTCAAAACACAAAATGTTTTGCGGGAAGGAGGAAGTATTTGATAAATATAAACTAAATATGGAAAAGTTTTAATTATAAAGGACAATTTAGAGAATTTACACTTTTTAAATGCCCTAAAAAGTTTTTTTTATTATTATCACTCTATTATTAAAAGCAGGGGAATTATTTTCCCGCCCAATGCACTCATCTCCTGCACCGTCGATATCAAGAAACAAACAAGATCTACGGCTATGATTGGTTGTGTAATATTACCTATTTAGAATGATAAATTAAAGAAAATTTTGCATGCATAATCACTCTATTCTGATAAAAAAGGAAGGGAGTAATTTGTTTCCTAACCAATTTCGCCTAATTACTTGATTGTGATAAAAAAAGAAGGGACGGTGCAGGAGATTTTTTATATTTTGTTTCCTTTCTAAATAGGTAATTATTTATGCCTAATTATTACTATTATTATTATTATAATTTATTGGAATAATTTACGCCTGATTATTTTATCAGAAAGTAATTATTTACGCCTAATTAAATATGTAATTATTTACTTAATCACCCTATTCTTAAAAGGAAATACTTTTTAGAATAATCGAATGATAAATTAAAGGATATTTCCCATCCATAATTACTTAATTCTGATAAAAAAGGAAGGGACTAATTTCGCAAACAAGATCTACGTTGTTTCCTCTTTAGAATAATATCGCAAGAGTAATTACTTAATCACTCTATTCTTATTTAGAATGATAAATTAAAGGAAATTTGGCATGCCTAATATATTTTTAAAAAGGGAAAAAATATAAAAATATTATTTATATAAACTTCTTTTCTAATACCGAACTTTTTTATAAAATTGGAATTGATATAATAAAAAAATGATTACCATTCAACTAAAAATAATATTTGTCCATAAAAGGGAATAATCACGTTAAGGCGTAAATTTTTTAATCAATGCATTAAATTTACAGTTTCATAATTTATATAATTTCCAATTAAGAAACAAATCATTTTAATCATGCAAACCATTTGTTTCCTTTTTCAATTTAGAAACAAACTTTAATCATACAAACCATTTGTTTCCTTTTCGGAAAGAAATCAAATCTAAAAGAAATGTCAAAGTAATACATAGAAATGGTGGTACATATAGTAAGTGTTGAATAAATAAATGATAATTAAATAATAAATCACCGTGTAATAAGAATAGATCATGTATTACCGTGTAACAAAAATAATAATATTAATATATCGTGTAATAATATTGTCGTATTTAGTCATTATTAATTTATTACCATGTAAGAAGAATGATAACTGTAATGGTTTTCACATCAGTCTAGGTAACCAAGCCCCCAACTCCCCATATTTAAATGTACTGGACCTTGGTTTTTCAGAGCCATCCAGTCTTTAAAAGAGAAGTGTGCTCCAACCAGTGTGGGACAGTTGTTAGAGGCTGTGGAGGCCTACAATGCTCTAACTCCAGAAACTCTAAATAAGGTATGGTTGACTTACCAGCAAGTGTTGACTAAAGTAATGGAGCATGAAGAAGGCAATAACTATAGATTGCCACATATGGGTAAGGACAGAATGGCCATTGCAGGGACACTACCTAATTGCTTGAACATTGACCCAGATTTAATTGGGAACACATGTAGACTTCTTGGTCAACAGAATGAGAGTACACATGAAGAAATTGTTCAGTTCAGTACTGAAGATGGAGAGGAGTACCTATCTTCAGAACTGAACTGATTCCAGGTTTATATTCATGCACATTGTTTGGGTTTTGGTTTGTTTAAGTGCAGTGGCAGTGAATGTGGGGTTTTTGAAGTGGTTGCCACATTCAGTTTTTTGGCTTTTGACTGTTGTTAGTGGTAGCTTTTTGGCTTTTGATTTTTGAATTTTGGGTTTTGCACCATGTAATGTCTTGCCATATGTATGTACTCACATTAAGGCAACTACACACTAACTGCTCTAAATGTTACCATGTTCAATGAAATACAACAGCCAACATATGTTTCTCAAAAGTAAGCCCATTTCATCATTGTTGATGTTAATACATGCACATACACATAAGATAACCATAATATGTGTAACACATATTACTAAAAAGACATTGCAGTATTAACATAGATGTGTAACAACAGTATGCACTCAGAAACATCCCCTTAAGGTTAAATGTTCATCACAGTAGCTTTATTATTCTCAGACTATGCAAAATAAATTGCAGTCATCATAGAAATCTGATCCAACAGAATTCATACAAACAACATTCACATAACAATAACATACAAAACACATAAGAAATTTCAATTATCACAGCAGTGTATCAACAAAGTTCACACTAGCAGGAATTAAATTGATACTCAAGGCAAGAAATATGTAAAGTGAAAGGAGGTGAAAGTCACTCCCCTACTTATACGTTGAAGCCTAAAAGTTTGGATCTGAAGTAGGTAGTAAGATGTTAAACATATCTATGTGGAGGTGCATGTGTGAGCAGATCATCGAAGAAGTATCAATCCCAATGATTTCAGACCTAAAGGAATCATCAGTATCACTGTCTCTCAGGAACTCAACCTCATCGCACCAAGATCAAAAACATCATCTTTATCCGAGGTAAGGTCGATTACCTCCTTCTCTCTGACCGGGGCAACATCGGCACCATCGTCGTCGGTGTCGATGACCTCGCTCTCATCCTTGTCGTCAGAGATAATATCATCGACAATCACCTCAAAATCTTCACCTCCACCATCTTCAAATTCCATTTCGAAAATATAAGATTCATAAAATGACTCATGCGATTCCTCTAATGAGGTGGATGAAGACTTCATGCACATGAAAGAGATGTAGATCTAGGGAGAGAGGAATGCTTTTCAAAGAGAGGAAGAAGATAAGATTTAGAGATGAGTGAATGAGTGTAACAGGGTGGGGAGGTGGGGGTTAGAGAGAGAGAAAGTAATGCGTGCAGGTGGGTGGGGAAGTGGGAATGTGGGATGGTTTGAGGGAGTAAATGAAACTTAAATGATAAAGGTATTTTTGGAAGGATTGTAGATAAAATTTGAAATGGGAAATTATTTCCAGACAGGAAAAAAAGAGAAATGGGAAGATTATTTCCGGACGGAGGGATTATTAAATTTATATTACAGTTCAATATACTTTTTGCATAACTTACCGTAAAAAATATCATTATGTGACCAAAAAAATTAAAAACCAGAAAAAGTCTTTTTTTGCTTTGAATAAGGAGGAGGATTTTTTTTGTGGTTGATGGAAATAAGAAGTCAGAAAGGAAGAACATCATTATCCGGGAATGAGGACAACCTAAAGGCCACCGCACTCCATAAAGTACAACCTAAAGGCCACCCCTCCGCCGGTCACCTTTTAACCTTTGTTTTTTTGGCTTGTCAAAGAAGAAAGAAAACACTTCTGGCCGATAATAGCAACACCACAACATTTATGGAGTAATTGACAATTCGGAGAGGGTTAATTGCAGAGTAGAGAGAAAGGCAGGCGAAATGCATCTGTATAACGCGTGGTTGCCACCGCCGGTGGCGGAGCAGACAGCGAAAGAGGGGGAGGCGTTCGCCAGAGTGGTGAAATCGGCCAAGGAATCCTACACGCAAGGCGATTCGGAATCTGTTTACGCTACCCTGAAATGGATATCTGTTCTCGACCTGTAAGCTTTGCTCATTTCTTGACTATATTTCTTTGTGTTCAATTATGTCTGTACTTGATTGACGGAGAATTGCGTGCTCTTAGGCTATTATCGAACTGCTTCCACACTGAATTCCAGTATATAGACTTCAATTAGACATTTATGCTCAATTTGTGATGTTCTAAGTTGGAGATGTTTTTGAAGTGTTCGAAATGACAAGTTCATGCATATGACTTTACTTAGTGTTAATTAAGCAAAGTTGACTTAGCTGAATTGACTTACTCTCTATGTTTTATTACCAATTCCTGTACATGCAAGTTTATGCTACCAATTTTCTAGTTTTTGGTTGTAGCTGTATATATGTCTACATGGTATGTTTGCTCCAATAACATGCATATAACTGTTTGTCGTACTAAAGTTTGTGGTATGGAGTATATGTTTGTAGAAGAAAAATAGGAAAGATCAACATTTTATCTTATTATGTTTTAATCCATGACAAGGGAGTGAAATGCATCTCAACTCCCATCTTCAATATGCTGTAACTTTTAATAATATTGATTATTGGATTTTTTATGCTATTAAATGTTAATTTCAAGTCATATGTTACAGCAAAAGTAATAACTTTCATACATTTTTTTTTAGATCAAACAGATGGAGATATGAAGTACTCTTTAGATTGCATTATGGCAGATTAAACTACACATGGAAATTGTGTTCTTATACAAGCAATTTATCATACTGTCCCATAATACTGGTTCATTTTCAGTTTATGATGCTTGAGTGAAGTTGTTTTCTACTCAATTTAATTAAATATTGGTGTAAAATTTAAAGAAAAATTATTTATATTTAAAAGATACATCAAAAGCTTTGTAAAACAAGAGATGGCTTTACTATGTTATTGTAACAAATGATTAACGAAATATGTAAGGAAAGAAGATTTAGTTTGACTTTGAGAATAGTGAGCGGTCCAATATTATGGGGCGGAGGGAGTGCTTTTTAGTCTACTCTCTATAGACGTATTTGGTAATCATATAATGAATTCCTCTCTTTCATTTAACAGCTTCATAAGGGCAAGAAGTGAATTGTGCATGGAAGATGTGAAAGACCTTGTGGAGTTTGGGTTGGAATTATTTAGATTATCAGAAAATAAACTTACTGCCCAGGTGTAGTATTCCACCCCCTCCCCTCGATCTCTACAGCTGTATATCTCTCTTTATAGTTGATGACAAGGCATTTTGCTTTGATCAGGTTAGATGGGGAAATCTCTTGGTAAGGATATTAAATAAATATAGAAAGAAGTTGGATTTGAAGGTCCATTGGCGCCCATTATATGATACTATGGTACACACTCACTTCACAAGGCAAGTTAGATTTACATCACAGTAATGCTCTCTTCCAAGTTCAAATGGGTCCAGACGCCTCAAACGAAATCTTAGCAGATGCTATATTTACTTTTATTTTTTTTGGCACTTGTTTTTATTTATTTTTAGTAGTTGCACTTATTTAATTTGTTTTGATTTCAATCTATTGAGAGAACTCAACTATTCTGGTTCAGTTTGTCATTGGATTAGAAAATATATGTTTTGAGGTTTGGTTAATGTATCTGAAGCAGGAATACTGGCCCTGAAGGATGGAGATTGAGACAACGACATTTTGAGACAGTTACTTCACTTGTTCGATCTTCTCGGCGATTCTTCCCTCCAGGATCTGCATTTGAGATATGGTCTGAATTCAGGTAACTTTGTTATCCCTCTGTTCACATTCTCTCAGTGTGTGATGATCTAGATCACCTAGTGTTCCGTCATTGTGATTCCTCTTAAGCATATTCAATTTTCAAATATCATCCGCGGTAAAACATTTGAAGAATTGAAGGGCACAGAGTGTTAATGGTACATTTAGTTCGTAGGTTAAGGCATGAATGGAATACCAATTTGCTATAGAAGTCCCTAATTGATCATTGTACAATTTCTTAACTTTGTTAAGGTACAACTACTATAAATCATTGATTTTACGCAAACGTTTTAAATTTATTTATTGACTTAAGGGCATGTTCTCTTCACCTGGTTTGGTTTGATCTGATCTGATCTGAATGTAGTTTATTTAAAGCTATTTATGATCTGATATGTTTTGATCTGATCTGATTCCAATAAGAATAAGTGATAAAAATAAGTTGGGGAGAACATGACCTTAGATAAACTTATCAAATGTCTGTTCGGGTTATATTTTTTCTTGGAGAAATACATGAAAAGCTAGATTTGTTTGATCAAACATGACTCTTTTATTGGGAAATAAATTTTGGGAGTATGGCTCTATTTATAGGAAGGATGAAACATATTGTAAAAAATTCCCTGTTTATTCACAAACATACATGCATCAATGAACACTTATTTGAACATACAACCATAATCCTCATCTCTTCCCACATTTTTTATATTTTCGCCAACAAGGCAATACCGCTAGAAGTGTTACATTCATAGAATACATTGCATGCAAAACTAAGATGGGTTCCTTCAAAAGTTGTTTTTACTTAAAATAATTAATATTAAGTCTGTATAAAACAATGTTCGATATTGCATTGCATAGCACGCCTTGAGGAGCAGAATTTGTTTATTGGCAAATAATATGCCTTGTAGCGTATTCTAACTTATGGAATTGCACGGCCTACACAATTTTTGATGGGGACCACACAATAGGGTGTACAAAATGCCCTATATATATGTGGTGTACACCTTACCTTTTTGAAGAGAAGCAGGCTCTTTGTTCCCCCCTGTTTGTAAATCCTAAGTGTCTTTGAATAAATTGCTACATAAGCAAACACCACATCTTTCACTTTTGAGAAGAAGCTGAATTCCCTTCTCTGTCTTCCCTTCTTTGACTTGTTTTCTTTGATTTGGGAGAAGCCTACATACACCATCATCAATATCTGATAATCAAAAATTCCTGTCAATACTCCAAAAAAATTGAGATTTTATACGAATACCCGAAGGTTACATAATTATCATTGGCTCTCTTGGAATTTAAATAATTTAACAATAAAAATCCATGTATTTTTTTTTTTTGCATATGGACCCCCCTTTTTTGGAGTATTTGTGATCAATTTGATCAATTTTTAATTTTGGAGTATTTATGTAAAAAATTTTCAATTTTTGGAAAGCTAATGATAGTTATGTAATTTTGAGTATTCGTGTAAAATCTCAAATTTCTTGGAGTATTGTCATGAATTTTTCTCATTTGATATTATGTCAAACTTCAATTTACGCCTTTGTTGCTCTTATCATAATATTGTTGTTATTGGATATCCATATATATTTTCTTGATGTTTAATGAATATTTTATTATATATTATGTTTACTATTTTTCAATCTTATTTTTAAGCGTTTTACATATATTTAAACTTAAGAATTGAGGCTTACACTTCATTGGCCACTGAAACTTAATCCTTGCGCAATGCTGGGTAGAATACTTAATTTCAAACATTCAACAATCAAGTAATGTCCAAATGTTCAAACCAAATTTACAATGTCTACTTTGGTACTTGTTTTCCAAGAAAGGAAATATATAAGAGTGCCGACTTGAGAGAATGAAAGACAAGCGATGTTTGGCATGATTAGATGCGTCAAGGATGATGATCAAAGAGTTCTGGTTAAAGACTGAAATAAAGGAAAGGGTGAAGTCATGCTTTTGTAAGATATTTAATTTATTGAGAATAATGTTCAAAATGTGGGAGATCTTTCTATTTCGAAAGAGGTGAATTAATAATTTATATGTCAGATCCAAAGAAATGATATTATTGTCCGTTTCGAAGGCTGTAAAATGACTTTCTTAAGTCATTTTTCCTTAACTCTTGTGTTTCCTATTTTGTACCAAACACCACAAAAGGAAAATGACTTCTGGAAAATGACTCATTTTCCTAAATTCATTTTCTGAAGGGTACTTTCTTTGTTTCCAAATGGAGCGTTAGAGTAGTCAAAAAGATGAAAAAAGATGAAATCAAAGATAATAGTAGGACCGACCGACATATTGATGTGAAGGTGTTTGGGAGCTATATGATACTCTCACAAGCGACGCAAGGAGGGCCCCTAAAATTTGAGACAATTAATTGTAGTATTTTCCTATATCATTCTATTGAACATTTAGGGTTATTTTTCTTTTTGTACTACTCCCTTCATCCTAGTTTAAAGTTCTCATTGTGGTTTATGATTTTTAGCTAAAATTCTTTTCATTTCAATTTATCTGAAAATTGAACTAGAATTTGAAAATAGAATTTACTCCCTCTATCATGCAGTATTCGTCCAGTATTCCTTTTTGGGATGTCTCATAATATTTGTCCACTTTCCTTAAATGGAAAATAAAATAGAATGAAATATCTAATATACCCTTGTTCTCAAATTAAAGTCGCAGCCTCTTTTTTCGCTTGTATCTCTTCTTGGTCCGTTTCTTCCACCAAACCAATTAGCCCTTATTCATCTTCTTATTCAATCTCTCCTCCTGATCTTCTTTTGAAGATTCAAGCCCCAACCTTCTTCTTTAATTCTATATCTCCTCCTCACGATCTTCTTGAATTGGATCCAAACCGCACGGATGACTCTTCAATTCGCCGCCAAAGTTGACAATCTTCGCTCAAGAGTGGTGCCGCAAGATCTAGATCAAAATCCGGCCGAGAGGGCTTCAAGTTAAGCACGTCTTGGCCGATCCTCAAGGAATCAATGTCCTCATTTAAAAATTATTTCAAGCTCGATTGCATTCTCTTCCTAGATTTTAAGGTTTAAGATGGGAAGAGTTTCTTTTTATTTTTGTTTTCTTATTTGAATCTGAAGGGTTTTTTCGTGGATTGATGGTGGAGGATGGACGTTGGTAGGGACTGTGGTGGGTTGGTAGGCGGCAGATGAATGATGAAGGAGGTCGAGATAGATTGGGCGGCAGCGCAAGGATATGCTTGATTTGAGCCGTTAGAGAGTGGGGTGGGTTGTGAGGGAGGTGTTGAGAAAGGCTCGGTGTGTGCCAAAACTAAAGTGGACGAACATAGCGGGACATAGGGAGCATAAATTTAAAATTTATACCAAAAGTTTTACAAAACCAGAGGTGACTTGCCTATTTTGTTTTATCAAATGATCCTTGTAAACAAGAAAGAGGATATAGCTCCATTGATAAATTTATGACAAAGGGAGTATTCCATTATGTAATTCAAAATCAAGTTGGTATTGATATATACAATTAAAAAGGAAGTTTTCTTCCACCATTGCTTCTGTATCTTACTAGCTTTCCTTATTTGTTTTTGTGCGTTCCAACATTGGCAAAATCAAGGGTTGTCTACAATCGATTACTCATATCAATATAGGTGCTGAATAAGAATGCTCTTCAACACAATTTTCTTAGTAAATAAGACCTGAAAGGATGGAGCAACCTTGATTCCTCTATAAAAGAATAAAGGCGATGTTCATAACTACTCAAACCATCACATAATTAAGCTCACAAGTCATATTATGATACATAAGAGAGGGTTATTGAACGGTAAAGACCTATGATAACCAATTTAGTTTTAACGTAGGGCATTCAACCACTGAGGCAATACATCTTCTAAGGCAAGTCATACTTAGTATAGACCGAAAAAAGGATCTCCACATGATATTTATTGATTTGGAGAAAATGTATAATAGAGCATCTTAACATGTGCTACGGTGGGTGCTGACGAAGAAGTGAGTTTTAAAAAAAATTTAAGACTTGTGAAGGATATGCACGATTGAATAATCACTCATGTAATGAAGCAATAGAGGAATGTGGAAGGAGTTTTCTATTACGGCCAAATAGCTCCAATGCCCCCTATAGTTTGGAAAATTGGCACCAATACCCCCACTATTTTCAAAACTTATTTCTAAAGTCCTTGTGGTTTCAAAACGTTGCACCCACACCCCCTCCAATCATTTTCCGGCAAAGAGGGGGCATTGATGCCTATTTTCTAAACCATAGGGGGAACACATGCTCATTTCTTATTTTTTTCATTTATTACTTTGTTTTTCTCTTTGTTTCCCTTTCCTAGATTTTTTTTTTTAAATTTCTTTTAATCTCTTCATAATGTTTTTAAAAATTCAAAATTCTTTGTGTTTGAAATAAAAGAAATCAGCATATACTCCATCTATCTCAAATTAAACATTTTAATCTTTTGTTTTCTAGAATAATATTTTTGGTAAGTTCAAAAAGAAAATAAAAAATAAACAAATGAAAATATGGAAAAACGAATTGAAAAAACTGAAACATTTAAAAAAAGAGTCTTATACAAAAAAGAATTTTTAGAACCCCTAAAAAAGTGTTTAAAATTGGGATGTTCAACAAGGATATTCATTTTTATTTTTTGTTTTATTTTACTTCTTATATTATTCCTCATTTTTTGGAGTTCTCAAAACAAGTTTTTAATTTTCTATTTTAGAAAACAAAAAAATAATTTTTTTAAATTTAAGACAAACAGATGCAGTATATGTTAATTTTTTTTCAAAAAAAAAAATTTAAATTTTAAGAACATTATAGAAACAATTTTAGAAAGAAAATTAAAAAACTTTGATTAATAAAAGAAAAAAAGGGAAAAGAAAAAAGTAAACAAAAAATAAGAAATGAGCACGAGTGCCCCCTATGGTTTGGAAAATACGAGTTTGGAAAGTAGGCACCAGTGTCTCCTTCTTCGCCGGAAAAATGGCGAGAAAATGATTAGAGGGGTATGGGTGAAACATTTTGAAACCACAG